CAAGTGTAGCATAATAATATAATTGTGTATCTTTACAAAGGTAAGAGTAACCATTATTAAGAATAATTGTGGATAATTAAAGATGATTATGTTCCCTTGCAGGAGAAGCCAAGTGTACTCTTGCTAGGGTAACCTAATTAAAGATCATTTGCTAAATATTACAATTTTATAATATTTAACAAATTATTAACAATAATAAATATTTCAATTAAATGTTTACTAAAATTTACAGGGCTTCGTTTAACATGTTTGATTTATGTAATTTTATGTAAATTGATTTAAATACTCATTGGCAAAAAAACAGAGTATCATTTTTGAGAAAAAGTTTTTTACAAATATACTTTTAAGACATCTATCAAGTCTTTACAGTTACATTGGTAGGATGAATTTTAAAATTAGTGGATTTAATGGTCAAGAAACAATAGACACACCTTTTCAAACTTTTTAGCCTGTTTAGCAAATTGCTTCCAAAAAACTTCCAATAATGAAAAGATTGAAAAAGGGAGTCAATTGCTTGAAGGGATTCACACCTCGAAAGATTTCTCGATTTAATATAGCACAATGTTCATAGATGCATGCTGGCATGAGGCTGAAGCCCACATAAAATGTTAGTCAACTTCATGTTACAAAAGGCAACAAATTTCAAAGCATCAGCTTAAATTAAACTTTCTCGATGAAGTTGCAGTTGTTTGAAAGGTTCTCTGATACCGCAACTAGAATTTGTTTCTTCACACTGCTTTTTTTTGAAATTTTTTGCTTGGCGGTGTCAAGATATTATCAAAAAAGTGGTCATGCAAATTATGCCATAATTTTTTTTTTTTTAATGCAATCATATTCATCAAGTTTAAATAAGCAATTTGAAAACACTTTCCGTTGAAAGAGGATTTCTATAGTCAGATTTGCCAAGCAAATGTAATGAACGAGAAGATTATTAGTTTTGCTTCCACTTTTGTCTTTGGTAACATTAAATATGTGTGTAAATAAATGTGTAAATAAACTTGAAGTTTGTTTTCCAAGGTCGAATAATTAAAAAAATTTTTTTTTGGAAAAAAATTTTTTAATTTATTCGATTATAAAATTTTTTTTTGCCAGAATTCTAGCCAGTATATGTGATATTTAGTTCATTCCGGTTCCGGCCGGAATTAAAATATATTAAACCGGAGTCTATTTTTTTAGCTTTATTTTTAAGACATCTGACATTGATGATTGAAATAATGAAAAATCATTGTCTTACAGGTTAACAAAGAACTATAGGTAAACCAGGTAAAAAAGACTAATATCTAAAAGAACACAATGTAATTTAATTTTTAAAAATCAGTTATGTAAAAATTTCTGGAAGTTTAAGAATATTATAGTGCAAAAAGAATTGCTCTTTAGTTTTGGGCAACAAACTAGCTCTTTTTTCATTAAAAACCTGGCTCTGAAAATAGTTTCATTTTCAATGTTATTTGAATTTTAAATAGTTAAAAATTTTAACCAAAATGGAAAAAGAGAAAATAAAGTAATGCTTTTAAATATATTTTTAAATATATATTTACCCAACGGGCATTTGTTGGTTTAAAATTGGTTTAGATCACGTTTAGATGGCATTTACGTCGATCTAAGCGTTTAGGAATCTATTTTAAACGTGTTCTGAATATTTAATTTGAATTAAACACGAGACGTAATTAATAACGAGAAATTCTTGCTATATCCCCAATTTGATATTATAAAGATATTGTATTATTTAACATAATGTCTTCGAACAGCTATTATAAAAATATTATGTAATATTAACATTTAGTCATTTTAAACACGGTATGGGATTACTATATCATTCCTATAATAGGAATGACTTAAAGTTATGGAAGATAGAGTTGAAGATTTAGGGTTTGTTTTTATTGTTCAATGTCTTACAAATTAAATAATAATTTATGAAATATGTATTATTAAACCGTTAAACTTTTGACAATCTACAGTGGGCCAGAATCGTCTAAAAATGGCAAAACTATTTATGGGTTAAATATAGACATTTGATACACGTTTATAGAGATTTTTGGGATCAAGAATTTCATTTTTGGGCTCTGTTTTAATTTTGGAATGATCATGATCAACAAATAGTTATTTTAGGGGTTGTCAAAGCTGGTCATGGAGTTTCTTGATGGTTTTTAAATCAGATGGGAAATTTTGTATATCTAAATATAGGTAACTGTTGTCAAGAAATTCAAATCTGGGCATATTCGGTCTTTAGAAGTGATCATAACCGCTTAAATGGTCATTTTAGTAGTGGTCAAGAGTAGTCCTGAGATGTCCCGATGTTTTTCAATTAGATGGGACATGTTGTATGTCTAAATCTAGGTAATTGCCGTCAGAGAATTTAAAACAGGGCTTATTTGGTCGTCAAGAGTGGTCATGATCGCTCAGTTGATCATAAGAGTGGTCCTTGAATATCCCGAAGATATATTCCAGGACCACTCTCTCTCTCTCCTCTCTCTCTCTCTCTCCTCTCTCTCTCTCTCTCTCTCTCTCTCTCTCTCTATATATATATATATATATATATATATATATATATATATATATATATATATATATATATTTATATATATATATATTATAGAAAATAAAACTACGTGATTTCACAACTTTAAGTTTCATGCTGTTACAATCATCAGGTGAAATACATACATAGTTTGTTCGTTCAAAAAATTATATACAATTGAAACTATACAGAAAAAACATATACTGATGAAAAACATATATTTTTATTTTTACAACCGCGTTTATCTAATCTTCAGGTTTGTGGTTGCTTAATAGAAATTTATTTTCGTGACGACACCTGCAAATTAACTCTGTTTTTTCATTAAGTAGCTCTTCAGCAAATTTATAAAGTAAAATGATCAGTTTTTCATATAAACAAAGTAAACATTTTTTTGTTGTATTGTTGTAGGCGGGGTTTTTTTTTAGGATAGACCAAGTTAATTCTGGTGTTTCTTCCAGTTTTTCCCTATTTTCCTCTATATATTTTCAGAGAGTGGCTGCATTTGAAAGTTTCTTATTTGTATATATATATATATATATATATATATATATATATATATATATATATATATATATATATATATATATATATATATATATATATATATATATATATATATATATATATATATATATATATATATATATATATATATATATATATATATATATATATATATATATATATATATATATATATATGTATATATATATATAAATATATATATATTTATATATATATATAAATATATATATATATATATATATATATATATATATATATACATATTTGATTAATTTGATATACATGGTTGATTGGAGTCATTGACTTTCATATTCTAGACACCTTAGTAACGTAGCTGCAAAGCATTTTCATCATAAGATCATAATTTGTTTGAGACCTGGAGAATTTCATTGTGTATTGCTCTCTGTTGTTTTAGACATAAACAATAATATTAGGGTGTATGAAATGACTATGACTTTAAAAATTAAATTACTGTTTTTTCATTTTATAGGCGTATTTATTATTTAAATTAACAAAACACATTTGACACATTTAAAGTACAATTTTCTAGATGAAAAGGACATTTTCAAAAAGTTGTATAGATGACATTAAAACTCAAGTTACTAGATAATGTAGTTTTCTTATTTTCAGCACAACGAAAGATAAAGAAAATCTTTTTTTCTTGTAAACAATTTGAACTCTTTACTAAACTCTTCTTTTTACATAAATACAAATAATAAATATTCTCTTTAGTGACTGATCCAGCATTTTTTGGTGTTTAAGCTAACTTTTAGACATGGAGCAAACTCTAAACATTTTTATGTTTATACTTATGTCAAATAATGAAAAATATTGCGGTGATTGGAGGCTGGAAACAAATAAAACCCCAAATTTTGTCATTCACAACAAGTTGATATTATCAACTAGACTAATATTATTCAATAAATTTTAAGTTTCATAGTATTATCTCTCAGCGTTCAAAATATGATCGTATAAAATTTAAACGCCACTCAATTTGAGGGGGTAACAAATTTTATATGGTCTTAATTTTTGAACGCTGAAAGATAATCCTATGAAACTTAACATTTATTGATGAATAGAAGTCTAGTTGAGAATAGTACAAAAAATATTTTATTAACTTGTTGCCCTCACGTTTGGAGTGAGGGAAAGGTGAAATATTGGAGTTTATTTGTTCCCAGCCTCTAAATCCTTATTTGTTTTTTCCTCTTTCATAAAATATAAATATCTTTTTACAATAACATTAAAAGTGCTATTTAAAAAAGATTTTAACAAGATTTAAATGAACTATTTTATATTCGCCTTCAGTTTTTAAAGCAAAATATACAATTCGGTATCATTTATAATTAAAAGCCTAGCACCTACTGCGCTCAGCTGAGCTCAGAGAATTTGATTTAAAATATTTATCTATATATGAGAGTGTAATTTAAAATAGATCACATGTGCGGCCTAGTGTTTTTTGGCTTGTGTAAAGGTAAGTGTTTGAAAAAATGTTGCGCGTTTTAAGTTTTTTTTTTTTTGAAAAACACTTTGAAAAAAAGCAAGCTTAAAAAATAAATATTCATATTTCTTCTTTATTTCAATACACGATGTCAATGAACTAATATAAACTTTTAAGAAATTAAAATGTTGCAAAATCGTCTTGCTGCCCTCATACTTCATTTTTATATGATTTTTTACATTTTCACTAATATTTGAAAAATAAAATATTGCCTTTTTTGTAATATTGATATACTGAGCTCAAAAATCACTGTAGGGAAAAAAATATATCAGTTTTAGAATGCTGGTGGTCTCTAGATTAAGTTTACAAAACGAAATTAGTGCAATATAAAAATTGGTTTTGAAGGGTTTTGCTCCATTGTACGATAAGGCAGATTTGTTTCTTTTTTTAATTCTTATTGCGTCATTTCTTTAGCATAATAAACGCGCAATTAATTACGAGCAATTACGCGCAATTAATTACGAGACGCAATTAATAAGGCTTTATGATATAGTTTTATTATTATATAGCCTATATCCCCTAACTGATACTATAAAAATATTATCTTTTTTAATGTAATATCTTCGAACAGTTATTAGAAAAATATTATATAATACTAGCATTAAGTCATTTTAAACGCGATAAAGGAATGACTTAAAGTTATGGAAGATAGAGTTAAAGATTTAGGGTTTGTTTTTATTGTTCAATGTTTTATAAAAAAATCTCTAAGTTAAATGATAAGTTATGAAATATGTTTTATTAAACCGTTTAAAGAATTTATCATTGAAAATATTTTATAGTTAATGATAATATTTTAAACCTCTTAGTTGGTTCCATTCAAATTTGGATAGACATCAAGCAGAAGCTCTTTTACTTCATAATGGGCAGGATGGTTCTTACCTTCTTCGTATATGTACTAATAATGAAAACAGCTATGTTCTTTCATGCCGCTGTGCAAATTCTGTTAAGCATTTTCAAATATCATATGATGGGAAGTATTACCGTTTTGGAATGGCAATATTTGAAACATTTAGTGAACTTGTAAAGCATTTTGAAAATCAACCTTTACTTGGTGGGGAATCAGGTTCATAATATAAATTTATATATATAATATAATATAGTTATAAATATAATTTAATATAATTTAGGATTTTTAAAAACCAGAAAAAAGTGTCATAGATTACATGATATATATATATATATATATATATATATATATATATATATATATATATATATATATATATATATATATATATATATCAAAAGGTTCTCTAAAAATATAATAAAAGATTCGTAAAGAAATCAGTGAAAACCTGTTTTTTTGACGCAATTGTCTTATTTTTTGATTTTAGATAAGTTATTATATAGAAATAAGGGTTTTGTCGTAAAAAACATAAGTTCCTTTGATTCACTCAGGTTTATTTTACCATATTCTTTAACAAACCCACAGAATCTCTAAAAATATATCAAAAGATTCCAATAGAAATCAGTGGAAACCTGTTTTTTTGACGCAATTGTCATTTTTTGATTTTAGATAAGTTATTATATAGAAATAGGGGTTTTGTCGTAAAAAACATAGGTTCCTTTGATTCACTCAGGTTTGATTTACCATATTCTTTAACAAACTCACAGAATCTCTCAAAATATATCAAAAGATTCCAAAAGAAATCAGTGGAAACCTGTTTTTTTGACACAATTATCTTATTTTTTGATTTTAGATAAGTTATTATATAGAAAAAGGGGTTTTGTCATAAAAAACAGGTTCCTATGATTCACTCAGGTTTGATTACTTTTTTTCAAAAAGAGTTTGGAACTAAAACTATAAGGTGGCATATCACAGAAAAGGGGCACAGAAAAGGTACCCCTGATGGAATAGGTTGTATCAAAAGAACTGCAGACAGATTGATTCGACAAAGGAAAGATATTCCTGATATTAATTATTTGGTCGAAGAAATAAAAGAAGTGTCCAAGTATAACCATCTATACTATTAACAACACAGATTTTAATCTCTATGAGAAATATGTACCAAAAAACATAACAACTTTCAAGGGGACTTTACAAGTTCATGAGGTGGTTTGGAGTTCCACTAAAAAAGAAACCTTGTATATGAGAAGGCTGACATGCACTGAATGTGACAATGATACAAAATGCAAACACTATAGTATTGGAGAAGTACTAATCCCTGTGGATTTTTTGACGAATCTTCATCCTCGTTTCCTTTTAATGTATAGCTTTTAGAAACTTGAATATTGTGTTATATTGAACATAATATTGAATATTATATTTGATTATATTAAGTATTGCAAACTGTTGCATTTCTTAAATGTTATAGTTATTAAGTTAGTAAAAATGTTTAATTCATGTTTAGTTTTTCAGTTACTCCAGTATTTTCATTAAAGATTAAAATAATCTGTGCATGAAATCTTTATTGTAAAATAGTTATTTAACTTGTTTCTTTTTCATTAATAATTTGTTGTGCCTCTGTTTTAAGAAATTCCATAACATGGTTTAGCAGGTCAACAATTCTTGAAAATGAAAAAAACGCCAGGTAAAGAAACAACATCCAAATGTTTGGCTCAAGAATTCCAAGGACCTAGTACAGGTAAATGTGAAAAAAAATTGACAAGACTAAGTAACCACAGTGTTTACAGCCATAATAAGGAGGATAGTACTATTTTATGTCAACTATTAAAGACTGTTAATTAAAGACGGTTATTATTTTTGTAAATTACCTGGCAGACACTTATAGCTGTTACAGCATAAAGCGATACTATTCATAATGTCATGTCTGTGGTAAATTTGTCACGTCTGTGGATTACGCTAAAAGTTTTTATTTTTTTTTGTAAACTGACTTTAAACGAGGTGTACGTATACTTAAAAATGATTAAATATACTAAAAGCTATAACAGCAAAAAATTTGGTTCGGAAATTTAATTTTATAAAAATATTTATTAAAAGTATTACTTTTCAGGAGAATGACCCATATATATATATATATATATATATATATATATATATATATATATATATATATATATATATATATATATATATATATATATATATATATATGTATATACATTTATATACATATATATATGTATATATATATATATATATATATATATATATATATATATATATATATATATATATATATATATATATATATATATATATATGTATATACATAAATATATATGTATATACATATATGTATATATATATATATATATTTATATATATATATATATAGGTGTTTTAACATTGCTAAAGTATCCTTATCCTCGCCGTGTCAACGAGCCATCTTCCTATGAAACTGTTGTTATTCATGCTGAAACTGGTTATAATTCTTCAATCAAAAAATTTCGTCCACAATCTGTAGGTTTAGTTTCATTTTTTTATATTTTTGGTTTAAAGTAATAATCTATAATTATTTTTACAGCTACCTGAAATGTCTATGGGCATTTCAGGGGGCTTGTAAAAATTGAAGCCACAAATTTTTTTTTTCTAAATTTTGGTTTTATGTTTTAGTAAAGCTAAAAGATAAAAGTTAGCTTTATGCCTTTTTATTTTTTTCAACCCATGTAAACATTTTTATTTTAACTTAAACTGTGTCAAAGTAACTCTCATTACACAGGTCAACACACTTTTTTTTGCTGGAGTTGAGCAAACAATATCATATAGTATTTCTCATTTTGATTTTAAATATGCTACTTATTTTTTACCTAAAAATAAAGTTGTAAAGATATCTGGGTTCAAATCATTTGGGTTAAAATCCTTAGTATTGTCAAAAAAATAGTATTCAAAAGTATGTCAACCTCAGTCTCAAAAAAAAGGTATTTTCATAGATGTATTTAGAAAACTTTTACTTAATATTTTGTTATTACCTTTTAATCTAAATCATAAAGATTTCCCAAACCACTTTCCTCATTAATAAAATAAGTTTCTAAGAATGATCAATCAGTTTGTGAAGTGGTGTCCAATTAAATTTATTTTTGTAACAGACGAAAACTCAAGTTAGTAGGAATAAATAAAAGTCTGTATAATAGCTTTTATATTGATCCATAAGTTTTTCTTTTTAAAAAAATACTCAAAGAATTACTAACCAATTTAAACTTCTGAAATGTTTCATGGTGTTGAACAGGCAATTGTGCAATAATTAAATCCCTATTGGATTTTTTGTGCAACAGTTCTCTAGCTATACAACCTGTTGCTGTTGTTCCTCTTTTTCCAATTGTGTCAGAGTAGTCCCATTTTATACCTGTTTATTTTGTTATATTTGTAGTGAAGTCTCTGCTTGCTTCAGAAATCTATTTGAAGTACTAAAAAGGTACTCAGATCAATAAAAAACACCAGTTTTTACATGTACAACAGTCTTCATGAAATTTTTACATGTACAACAGTCTTCATGAAATAGTCAAATGTACCCAGTAAAGCATGAAGAATCTATAAAAATATCAGTAGTTTTTAAATGTAATAATTTTTATTATCAAGTATGTTCCTATAATAAGAATATACAATAGTATGAACACTATTACACGATAACAATTTATTTGTATTGGTTTTACATCAATAGACTTCCTCACAGTTCCGATAATTTAGTGCGCGCGAGCATTTAGCAATACGTCATTGTTCCTTGTGGGCAGAATGGCATGAAAGAAAGTAAATATATATTATTGATGTATTTAAATAAATTTATATTATTGATGTATTTAAACTTTTTATATGTTTGTTTTATAGGATATATATGAAAGAAATAAAAGCTCTTAAATAATACTCTTTATCTTTTGCATTCCACACATTCCGAGTTTGAAATATGCATTGATAGTTGTGTTTGTGTGTATATATACTATATATATATATATATATATATATATATATATATATATATATATATATATATATATATATATATACATATATATATATATATATATATATATGTATATATATATATATACATATATATATATATATATATATATATATATATATATATATATATATATATATATATAATATTATACATATATATGTGTGTGTATATACAAATATATGTGTGTGTGTGAGTATATATATATATATATATATATATATATATATATATATATATATATATATATATATATATATATATATATATATATATATATATATATATATATATGTATATATAAATTACTATTCAACACTCTTCTTTCCTGAAAGCTCATTTTTATTAATCAATGTTAAATACTTTTACGCTCAACGAGCAAATTTGTTTTTTCCTTGATTACAAATATTATATAACAAAAACATATAAACAGTATAGATTTTAAACTTGAAATGGGTAAAATAAACTTATATTAAACTAAATCAATGTCTTTTTAAAAAAAAAAATCTTATGTAAACAACTGTTTCTTTTAAGGTTACTATCTTAATTTATATGAGTATTTAATTGTTTTCATGCATAAAGTACCATGACGTAATATTAAATATGCGCGCGCATGAAATTATCAGAACTGTGAAGACGTCTATTGGTTTGAAGATTTGTCCAGCACTTGTGATATAATCAGGTGTTTTTTTAAAGTAAAGAACAGTCTTTTTGTTCAAATCGGTTAAACATTTCATTCATAGTTATAGTGTATTGATTCATTACAAAACAATTTTCAATTTTTTCAATATTCAAACACTGATATTTTTAGCATGTGTACAGATCACAATATGCACCTCGAACTCCTAAAAGGAGATTTGCTGCTTTGTTATCCATCATATATGACTGAACTATTATCTTTATATTAAATTGTTTTCCTTCTTTATACAAAAGGAAACTTTATTTTTTAACTCCTTAATATCAGAATTAAAGAAATACAGTATTGATTCTTTTTCTATTTAAAGACTCAGCGCTCTGTGAATCAGTGGGGTGTTTGATAACTTTTGCAATCATATTAACAAGCCTGCTTCTGTTTCAAGTGTACAAAACATTGTCATTATGATATTGCAACTGCTAACATTATCTTTTTGATTAAATATTGGCTTTTACTACCATAAAATCCAAACTTTATTTTCATAGGTCTATTATCACTGTTTATATCTAAAAAAATGTTCTCAAATATTCTTTGCATTGTCAGTTTAACAGTCTGAAAAAGACTGAAGTAAATACCATAATAAGATTCAAGATAATAATAATTTGTATCTTCATATTGTTTTATCCTGAGGTGTTTCTAACTAGGCAATATATTGAAACCAGCAGTTGAAAAAAAGTTTCCTTTGGTTTGTATATGAATGCCTACCAAGAGCACAATCTGTTTAGATTGACATTGTTTGTATTGAAACCTTATTGAAGGAATTATTCTTATATATTTCAAGCAAGGTTTCCTTACCTGCCTTGAAATAATGAATCAAAAATTTTTGAACTAAATTTACTTATTATTTAGAACGACTAAGCAATAAAAATAAAAAGCCCCTAAAATTATGCGATATTGTGTTGTTTATTTGATAATTGCTGTTGGTAATGTTGTTTATGTTGATTATTTTCATTAATATCAAAATAGCCCCAGGTTAATCTGTTAGTTGCTTTGTTCATTGTTGCTTTATTTCTAATTTAATTTTATCTCTAAGTATAAATTTATGTTAAGAAAGAAAAGTTTTTATTTCATCGCTCGCTCTTTTTATAAAAGAGTAGAACAAAAGAGAAAGAAAAGTTTCTCGTAATTAAACTTCGAATGAAAAAAAGAGTTGTATAGAATTTTTTTTTTTTTTTTTTGCGTCACTCGTTCTTTTTTTAGATGAGAGAAATAAAAATTTAATAGTAACTTTTCTTTGAATAAATGAAAATTGGAAGAGAAAATTGCTTGAAAATTTGTATTTGTTGTGTTTTAAAATTTTTCATGTTAAGAGACAAATGCCAAATATGATACAAATTGGGAAATACCTAATATAATATGTTTTTCAACGCGCGTTATGACATTTTGACAATTTAAATTACCATTTATCTTGAATTATTGCCATTAATTAATGTGTTAATTATTGCGTTATATAAAAATAATTTGTCCGTATTTTTGTTAAATATTAGTTGTATAAAACGGGCAAAAATATACAAACCTCATGTTTTTATTTGATGGTTATAAAATATTGAACAGTAAACTAATACTCAAAATTTATAATGCCGATTTGTGTTGTTATTAATTGTACTTTTAATGCAAAACCAAGATCTCACAAATCCTTTCACGAATTTGCATATCTGATACTACTATCAACTGTATTGTTTAGTGTATTCTTGTATTTTTTTTTCATAACCTTAACAGGTTCTAATTGGTATGGAGTTGCCGACATTTTAAAAGTTTCATTATCAAAAATCAAATGTAAAATAAAATGATATTTCCTTTTTATCCGTATCCAATTTAGCAAATTTAGCAATTTAAAATAAATCAGCGTAATCAAAAAATTTTTATAATAAAAAAAGTTCACAATTCATCATATATCTCTAATTAATACTGTCAGCTTATGAAATTAATTGTTAATACTTTTTTTCGACGGGAAAACAAAAAATATCATAGCGTAAAAATAACCAGAGAAGTTAGAAAAAAGTTCCGATTGTTTAAATAAAAATAAGTAAGATTCAGAATATATAATACTGCGCTCTCTTGCACAAAAATGAGAGACCGTATACATAACGTTCTATATAATGTTAAACACTTGTATGAAAATCATAAGATTCGTAAGTAAAGCTTTAATATTTGTTTTAATTTAAAAACAAAAGAAATATAAGTAAGATATATAAATCGAAAAATTATTAAGATATCTGTAAAAAACAAGTTGCTCCTATAAAATAAAAATTATTTTATCATTTTTTCTTTTTACAAATTTTTTTTTTGCGATGTTTAGAAAAATAATACAAATAAATTTGTTTTGCTGTATATTAAAAAAATACTACAGAAAAACGCAGCTTAGTTTAATTACACTTTCCTTTTGTTAAAAGTCTACCGTGACGTCAAATACTAAAACTTTTATGAATTAAACGCGCTTCAAAGGAATTGCCAAAGTGTGTAGATTGCGACGCATAATTTGAAGACTCCGATTTATTGAAAAAAATGGAGAAGGCGAACTTCGGCAAAAACAACAACATTTGTTTTTCCCGGTATGCATTCATTATTTATTTTTAATCAAAAAAACTTAGTTCAAACCTTTTTTTTTAACATTATCTTTAGTATGAACACAACATGTGTCGGGAGTTTGGGATCCCTTTAAAGCAGTTTGTGCGATTGATTTTGTAAACAAAAATACTTTCAATTATAACTGCCTTTTCAATGAAATCATTAATAATCATCAAAGTTAATACAAATAATTTTAACCACTAATTCATTTTCCTCAGTGTACCCAATAACTGATTCTTTCTC